CAAACATACCCTACCCACACAAACATACCCTACCCACACAAACATACCCTACCCACACAAACATACCCCCTCCCAACCCACACAAACATACCCTACCCACACAAACATACCCCCTCCCAACCCACACAAACATACCCTACCCACACAAACATACCCCCTCCCAACCCACACAAACATACCCTACCCACACAAACATACCCCCTCCCAACCCACACAAACATACCCTACCCACACAAACATACCCCCTCCCAACCCACACAAACATACCCTACCCACACAAACATACCCCCTCCCAACCCACACAAACATACCCCCTCCCAACCCACACAAACATGACTCCCTGGTCATGATCACTCCCCTGTTTTTTCTAACGATGTTTTCATATTGTGACTTAATTTCGGAAATGAAATTTCACTGCCATTAGTTAGTAAGACAAAGAACAAAACGATATGAAAAGTTATCAATATGATATCAATTTTACGACGCTGTTCTGTGTCTTTCAAAATAATGGCAGTGCAATTTTATTATAATTGTATCTTGAAAACCTGTCAACAAAAATGTATGAAAAGATTCTCCGATTATGTTGTAGAAACGTACCTTGTATAAGCCTATGTGAAAACGTCACGCTACCACAACTGGTACAATTTTGACAGTTTTTCAGTGATATTAAAAAATTCAGATCTTGTATCTCGAACGTGTCTTGATCCTTGACAAAGTCTACCCATGGTGGTTCATTTTCAGAAAAAGTTTTGATTCAAAGTCATTTGTTTTTTGCAAATAAAACGCTAAACTCGCAGTGAGATTACGTCAGTTTTTCGGCCATGGCTAGTACCCAAATTGGTACAAAATACCACAGGCTGTGAAACTTGTTTTTATTTCTACTACAATTTGGTAGTTGATGTGTCGATTGCAACAAAATATGTTGCTTTATAAAAATTCGATTTTGTATTTTCTGGTTATGAGGACCAGAAATCAACATCAAAACATGCTTATAATTAATCCCTTCAATATTTTCCAAAATGTCGTCAACGTACGGACGTCCTTTTAAGGCCTTTTACTTGTTTTCTTATATGTTTTCTTTGAAGTCATGGTGTTATCTTAGAACGTTCTTGAACACAAAATTATTCGGTTGAAATGTTGATAAATATCTCTTTTGTTATACTGTCAGAGGATAATGCTAGTTTCTAATTTTATTCGAACCATTTTCTGACCGTGTAGCGTACCAAATGTGGGAGCGTGACGTTACCAACAGAAACAATCCAATAAAAAGGTAAAAAGTCATGAAATTTAGAATTTGGGAATTGGGAAAAGCACAAATACTTTCGGCACGATGTCGTAACCGATTTTCCTTCTGGTCATATTCTCATTGTTTTCATCGGCAGATTTGTAAGATGAGTTTTACCACTGCCGTTTCCAAATTTTTTTAATCGATTTAAAAGAAATGAAAAAAAAAGATATTTGAGATAATTATGAAACAAGTTTTCTATTAGTATTTGTATATTGGTTTCAGGATGTCATGATAGGCCCTGGAAAATGATATAAAGGACAATGCATGAAATATAGAGTAAATATAGCAAATAGCAAATTGCGGGCTACATGTCCACATGTTTCTGGGTGCGCCACCATGTTTGTGATAGGCGTAACGTTGATTTTAGGAGATGAGGAAGGGTACAGTACAAACCGAATCCAACGAGGAGTTGGGGGAGGAAGCTGCGCAGGCTCTAGAGCTGGCTAAGCTACAGAGACAGCTCCGCGTGATGGAGGGGGACCGACGAGCCTACGCCGAGGAGTCCAACAATGTACTACGCAAGAAAATGTGGGTATCTCCAGCTCGTCATGGTCGATTCGTCTCAAGAAAAATGTTTTTTATTCCAGCTTATTGTGCATAGATTATTCAGTGTTATAAAACTAGATTGTATACAATATATTGGAGAAAGCCAAATCGCCTTAAGATGAAGAATGCTGTTTCCTAGACCATTGTGTCGTCTTAAAAATTATAGATAGGTTTTCCATCTTATAGCTAAAAGTTCTGCATCTTAGACAAATGGTCTGCCTTATACATAAATGTTATGCCGTAAAGATACATTTTCTGTCTTATAAGTAAATGGTCTACCTTATAGATAAATGTTCTGCCTTATAGATAAATGTTATGCCGTATAGATACATCTTCTACCTTATAGATAAATATTCTACCTTATAGATAAATGTTCTACCTTATAGATAAATGTTCTACCTTATAAATAAATGGTCTACCTTATAGATAAATGTTCTACTTTATAGATAAATGTTCTGCCTTATAAATAAATGTTCTGCCTTATAAATAAATGTTCTGTCTTATACATAAATGTTCTACCTTATAGATAAATGTTCTACCTGATAGATAAATATTCTACCTTATAGATAAATATTTTTATAGATAAATGTTCTGCCTTATAGATAAATGTTCTTATAGATAAATGTTCTACCTTATAGATAAATGTTCTGCCTTGTACATAAATATTCTACCTTATAGATAAATGTTCTTATAGATAAATGTTCTACCTTATGAAGAAATATTCTACCTTATAGATAACTGTTCTGCCTGATAGATAAATGTTCTGCCTTGTACATAAATATTCTACCTTATAAATAAATATTCTACCTTATAGATAAATATTTTTATAGATAAATGTTCTGTCTTATAAATAAATGTTCTACCTTATAGATAAATGTTCTACCTTATAGATAAATGTTCTGCCTTGTACATAAATATTCTACCTTATAGATAAATGTTCTTATAGATAAATGTTCTACCTTATGAAGAAATATTCTACCTTATAGATAACTGTTCTGCCTGATAGATAAATGTTCTGCCTTGTACATAAATATTCTACCTTATAAATAAATATTCTACCTTATAGATAAATATTTTTATAGATAAATGTTCTGTCTTATAAATAAATGTTCTACCTTATAGATAAATGTTCTACCTTATAGATAAATGTTCTGCCTTGTACATAAATATTCTACCTTATAGATAAATGTTCTTATAGATAAATGTTCTACCTTATGAAGAAATATTCTACCTTATAGATAAATGTTCTGCCTGATAGATAAATGTTCTGCCTTGTACATAAATATTCTACCTTATAAATAAAT